ACCCCCCCCCCCCCCCCCCCCAATCCCGTACCAACCCCTGCGGCTGCAGACGGGCCTTGGATATTTAAAGGATATCCAAACCTTGGGATGTGCGGGAAAAGTAACTTAGAAATTGTTTAAATATGGCACTGAAGTGGCAAGGTGCGTGGTATCCCCAAAAGGCACGCGAAGGCTCTGCTCGCAGCGCCCAGAACGCTAACACACAACGGACTCATCACACACACACACACACATAGCAAATATACTGTTATGTTAGAATAACATATAGGTAGGAGCTTAAATTATTTTCCAAGATAAGTTTTGACAGTTTTTATTGTGCAACGTCCTGACAGAAGTACACTATCACCTGAAACAATATAATTGTGCCAAAAGTGTCGTAGTGTACAGTCATAAAATGCAATAAAATATAGAAGAGGCTATAAATTTATCGAAGTAGGAAGTGTTTTCAAAAACATACTTTTCAGTGACTTAGCCTATGTTAAGTTAAGTCACTGAAACGTATGTTAACATATTTGAAATCACTTCCTATTTTATAAGACTCGTGTCAGTTGGATTACATAAAGGGCTAACTATGATGGCATGGATCTACAGTTTACATAGATCCAACTATGACAACATACAGCTACCGATGATGACACAGAGCTACTTTTTTTTATTTAGAAATGAATTGTAAATATTTTAAACGCCATCATCACGAACAGTTAAGGAAATCCTTGAAGCTATAATGAGAGTAGATGAGCGAGTCGTATCACCAGTCGAACACTCATTTCAATACATTAATGCGCAATAATGGCGATTCTTAAAAAAATAGCTTCTGAAAAGACAACAAAAAACGTGTTACAATTTGGCACCCGGTCAATAAATAAAAATCAAACATATCACTTTTGCTTTTGATCTATGATGTCGCCCAATGCTGTAAACGCAAGGTATTTTGGTGGCATCTTCAACTGATGCCCAGTAAACTGGTGGCACTAAGATATGGTGGCACTAAAACATGGTGGCACTAAAACATGGTGGCACTATACGCTAATGTCACTATAACCGGGTGGTGCACTATAACTTGGGAGCACTATGACCTGATGGATCTGTAACCTGGTGGCTCTATATAAACTGATGGCACTATAACTTGGGAGCACTATGACCTGATGGATCTGTAACCTGGTGGCTCTATATAAACTGATGGCACTATAACTTGGGAGCACTATGACCTGATGGATCTGTAACCTGGTGGCTCTATATAAACTGATGGCACTATAACTTGGGAGCACTATGACCTGATGGATCTGTAACCTGGTGGCTCTATATAAACTGATGGCACTATAACTTGGGAGCACTATGACCTGATGGATCTGTAACCTGGTGGCTCTATATAACCTGGTGGTGCACTATAACTTGAGAGCACTATAACCTGGTGGATCAATAACCTGGTGGCTCTACATAACCTGATGGCACTATAACCTAGTGGTACTAAAGCCCTATTATTCGGTGAATGCATATTTTTTTTATCTGTATGATGGTGTTTCACTGTGTTATTATTTTATCCGTCGAAATAAGTCATTCCCTTTAAAATTAGGTCATTGAATAAGGTTTCAAAATTTACAGGAGACGAGTCCTCAATGTTTCCTTTAGGTCATAGCTCAGAGTCCAGTCTCGGAGTACAACTATGTTATCCTCGGGCACGGCGCCCCACAGCTCCGTGGGAATCTCGCGGAGGTTTTTCTCGTCCACCAGGACCACGACCCGGGCAGGGTTTTCCGGCGTCTGTGCGTAGACGGCCGACCTGATGGTGAACAGCATCCAGCCGTCGTCACGAGAGAATCTTTCCTTGAAGACGAGAACGATGCGCCAGCTCGAGTTGATCGCTTCCGACAAGCCGCGCCCCACGTCGCTCGACGGCAAGAGGTCGCGGTCTCGCACGAACGTCGTGAGGTGCAGGGCATCCTCGATGTAAGGTCGGAGGTGATGACACGGAAACTGGTAGTCCTTGTCCGGGTACCCGATGAAGACACCGTTGCGGTAGTTGAGGGCCGTGGACAGCTTGAAATCGCCGAACATTTGCAAGAGATATGAAACGATGAAAGTCCGCTTTCTATCGATGACGAACACGACTAAAAATCCGATCACGATGCCGCAGAACAGGACCAGAGATAAGTACAGGAAAAACTCCCCCCAGCACGGACGCCACAGCGTAGCAATGTTCTCATATCTTTTAGTGTCAGCCAGGAGACCGTCGTTGTTCATGCACGTGTAGTTACCGCCATTGTCTAACATGACCCTGGTGGAGTGCAGCCACTGAAGGAAAAGTATGCTCTTGCATCCGCACGAGAGGATGTTGCCGTCGAGATATAATGTAAATGTTTCCCATCTCGCGGCCAGGTTGTCCAGCTCATCTCTGACGTCAACGTCCAGGATGGTCAGGGCGTTCTTTTGAAGCCGTAGCTCCCTGAGGTTTGGGGTGACCTTCAGGTCAAACGGAAAATCCCGAAACCGGTTTTCGGCTAAGCTCAATCTGGTCAAATCTGAATTGAACGCGAAAGTCTTGAGGGCTAGCAGGCTTAGTAAGTTTGATGATAAATCCAGCGTTTGTAGCTTTTTCAGTTGCTGAAATATGCGCCCGCTGTTAACTGACATGAAAGTGCTATCCAGGGAGCAACCGGAAATGGCTAAGTTTTGAATACTGGGAAAAGTGTCGAACAGGGCTACGGATATGAATGAGAGATCATTGCCAGAGAGAAGAACAGTTTTTAGACCTGTAAATCCGCGAATGACCACATTGAAATGCCGAAAGCCACTGTCAGAAATATCAAAGTATTCGACATTTTGACCACCTACCATTGTAACCTTGGTGTTATTCAGAGAAGAAGATTCGATAAAACGACGAAAATTTACATGTCTCAAAGAGCTTGGAAGATGAACGACATACCCCACATCTGTTAACACGGGAGATACATTTGACGCTATCAGATGTTTCACGTGATCGGCGGGTAGATTCGCCGTGGAATTCTTTCCTCCGACGCGCTGTGGAGTTGACGCCTCAAAGATGTGGAATCTGCTCGCTTGCTTCGCGGCATGATTCGCGTTGTTGTCTTGTTGTAGGGTGTCTTTCATTTCGCTAGGCATCTGTGCGTCACCTGCGTATCTCTCCCCATTGTAGAAGATATTTCCTACTCCCGGCGTTTCTGCCACAATGTCTGTCTCTTCTATCCAAAACGGAATTTTATCTGACCGGGCTCTCAGTGTGTCCGCCACGGAAATACGTTCGAGGTTCTTAAATGTCAATAGCCGGAGAAAAGCCTCCCTGGTCCCGCACAACGGATTGTTGGAAAGATCTATGCTTCTTAGGCACGACTCCCATATTGGACTGTACAGGGCATCTTCCTGCATGACAAAAATCTGGTTGTTCGTCAGTGAGAAATCTTTGACGCAAATACTCGTCAAATACTGGGTCTTGTCCCGATCGATGAAACAGTCCCTCATCAACAAACTCCCGTCGTCGGCGGACACTGAGTACTCAACCATCTTAATGAAGATCGAACTCATGTTTCTATTCCCTAATGGACGAAACAGTTTTAAAGTTTTCATGAGGCCCAACGGAACACGGTCGATTCTGAGGGAATCCAAGGACTTGAGCTCCCCGAATGCGTCTTGGCTGATGCTGATGATCTGCGCCAGTCCAAACAGTACCAGCCTTTTCAGCCGGGGAACGTTTTCAAAGCTGTTGTCGTGGATGATTTTGACGTTGCCGCTAATCTCGAGGCGAGACAGGTGAACGGCTTTTCTAAATTCTTGCCCAAAGTATAGACTGTCACCGGCAGCGTCTACACTCAGTGCTTCTAACTTGTCCACGCGTGGCAGACACCCAACCGGATATCGATTACCTATTACGGGGTTACCCACCAGGAAGAGTTCTTTTAAGCTGACCAGCGGATTTAAAATGCCTAATTTACATATGGCAGAAATGACATCTATGCTGTTGTATTCGAGATTAAGACTCTCTAAACTGCCCAAGCCGACGAAGGCGCCCGCATCGATTGAGCTCAGTGAGTTTTGTGAAAAGCTTACATTTCGGAGTCGGGCCAATTTGAGGAACGTGCCGCTCTTTAACTCTACAAGCTGGTTGCCCTGAAAAAGTATTTTTGATGTATTGTCCGGAAACCAGTTGGCGTCGATGTGGGTCAGACCGTGGTTTGAGCAGTCGACAACCACGACGCTTCCTTGTGGCGTCTCCAAACAAGGGAGACTATCTTGAAAACTTTTTGATGCAGTTAAAACATGTTTATCTTCAGGTGGATAATTATCCTTTAGGTGAAGATTTTGGTGATGTGTAAGAGATGCGCCAAACTCGTGTTTGCCAAACATCATGTCATCTTGTTTACCGTTTCGATCGTATTGGTCACGTTCACTAAAATCCGTGTCCATACCAATATCTTTGTTTTCACTAAGATCTTTGTTAACGCGCACAACTTTGTGTACACTATCACCTTTGTATAGACTAATTCCACTAAACATTTGCACAAGTGAAATGATGCTAAGAAATATTGCAAGGAATCGTAAGAGCTCCATCTTGTTTAAACCAGTCGAATCTGTCCACACTGACGACGAAACTCGCTTCTCATTCACTTGCCTCTATGACGTTTATGAATAGAATAGAATGATCCTTAGTCTACAGAAAGTAAAACCTGACGAAGACAAGAGCTGATTTATAACACCTATGACAGTAGGTTAACATTGGAACTTCCAGATAGCAACTGCGAATGCGGTGTTTGCCGTGGAGCATTGTGGTGGGACACTGGGGTGGGACATTGTGGTGGGACACTGGGGTGGGGCATTGTGGTGGGACACTGGGGTGGGACACTGGGGCGGGACACTGGGGTGGGACATTGTGGTGGGACACTGGGGTGGGGCATTGTGGTGGGACTCTGGGGTGGGACATTGTGGTGGGACACTGGGGTGGGACATTGTGGTGGGACACTGGGGTGGGGCATTGTGGTGGGTTACTGGGGTGGGACATTGTGGTGGGGCACTGTGGGGGTGCATTGTGGTGGGACACTGGGGTGGGGCTTTTTAACACTTAATATTTTCTCAAACTGACTCTGTTTTGTACAACTGGTAAAGGAAATGGTGGTGCCCCCCGCAAGGTTGAACTTATCTTTCCTTACATTTTCTTTTTCACAGCATTATTTTATCATAATTATACTTGTGGTAAGCAAACAGAGATGACAGAGCCATGAGGGCCATAAATGATGAAAGCCTTTGAAGGGGGGAACCCGAATAATAAGGAAAACCCCCATATATGTCATCAGTGATCGATAATCGAAAATTAAAAAAAAAACACGTTGAATGATTTTTTTAAGGAAACGCGAGCCATTGAAGTTGGAGGCACGAGCCACAATTAGCTCGCGAGTCATAGTTTGTCCACCCCTGACTTTTACATATAATTAGATGTGTCAGTTCACGTCATTATGACATCATTAAGTAGCTCATTAACTGGGACACTTTTAAATCTGGCATATTTTACATGACAGACTTACTGTTTAAGAATTTCTTTTAAGTTGACGTGATCACGTGAAATATTAATATAGTGTTTATTTGCAGATACCCTAGTATTGCGCTATTACTTGAAAGCAGGGATCTCAAACTCGAGGAACCGAGGGCCATTTGAGGCCATCAAGACGATATTTTGTGGTCTGATACCCAACAGCAAAGTTTAGTATAAATATGGCTCGCGCGTTCTCCCCCATTATCATTTCTTTGATGTGACCTTCCACGGCGGTTTCAGTCGAATCTCGTCGAGAAGTCTAATTTATATTTTATTGATTGTATAGGTTTTGGCGTTGATGATAACGGTAAAAACCCGTTTTAAAATCGGACTTAACATTTTTTTTTTATTTTATAACTCTTTATGGGAAAAACATGGTCAAAAATTTTTAAAAGTCAGTTAGTGGGTAATGAATGCACTTGAGTAAACTGTTGCAATCTGACACTGTATCAAAGAATCCTTATTAAAATTGCCCCCTACTTTGTGCACGAGTATGGAAAAAATTCCGAAAATCTCAGCTTGGTCACTTTCAAAATATGGGTAGTCAAAAAGGTCTTTTCTACGATTAAAAAAAAATCGAAAATCAATCTCCTTACAACAGCTTGAATGATGCTCCTGCCTCCTGTTTGAATGATGCTCCTGCCTCCTGTTTGAATGATGCTCCTGCCTCCTGTTTGAATGATGCTCCTGTCTCCTGTTTGAATGATGCTCCTGCCTCCTGTTTGAATGATGCTCCTGCCTCCTGTTTGAATGATGCTCCTGCCTCCTGTTTGAATGATGCTCCTGCCTCCTGTTTGAACACATTGAAGTTTGAAAATCGCTAATGGGAATCTTCATATTTCTATTGTATGCTTTTTTTTTTGTCCTTGTTGAACAGAAACTCATTATTTTCATATTAGATGAATATATTTCACTTTAGACGACGGGAATCTTAATAACTAATTAATGCTGTTAATAATGGCTTACTGAAAAATTGGTTGAAAAAAAATTTCGTCGTCCGAAAATTGATCGACAGAAATTTGATCGAACGGAAATTTGGTCCAATTCTTTTTTTCAGTTTACACGATCTAATTTTGGCCCATATTTCTTTTTGAACGCATTACTTTGTTTGACTATATAGTATAGTGGGTTGAAAAAAAAATTTGACGAAAATTTTAACGTGTGGACTGAAAAAAAATTTTCGACCAAATTTCCGTTCGATAAAATTTTCATTGATTAATTTACCGTCGACGAAATTCATCTCGATCAAATTTCCCGGTAACCTTCAGTAGTATGTTTACTGATGACATTGCAAAGCTACGGGAAGAATTTGATCACATGTTTTTTAGACTTAAAAACAGACAGAGTAACTTTCAACTTTTTGCTTACCATTTCTCCTTCAATTTGGTAGATGCAAACCCCCCCCCCCCACACCACCTTACTTGCGCTTCAAAAGTTGCTAATCTTCGGTG